TATAGAATTGGGGTATCAAATTTAGCCTAGGAAGGTCAGGGGGTGCCTCGGCCCACGCGCCGCTGCATAAGGCAATTAGCCGCCTCAACTCACCAGAAAATTCAACTATTTCAAAAAAATCTCAAATTTTACAAGAATGAAGATCTCAACGAGTAGTGCAAGTTTTATACATGTGGTTAAGTCCAATTTGGCCAAGAAAAGCCCCAATTTAGCTCGAACCCGCCAGAAACCCTAAGATGATTGTTGAGCTATATATTTTCATAAACAAAATATATTAGCAAATCTTAATAAAAATGGGGAGACTTTAAAATAATAATAGTAATAATAATAGTCCAAAATATGGACTGACTAGAAATAAGGCTCACTTTATGTGTGTGTGCGCATATATTCTTATGTATACTATATTTATATAATATATATAAGAAATAAAGAGAGAAAAAAAACTACACCCGCACACGCGGGACCTCAACATACACCAAGTCTGAAGGAGTTTGTCATCTACATGGCAACCGGGTATAGAGAATGTGTGTATCTAGAACCCTCTAAAACTCCCACGTTCTCCACTCAAGAGATGGTTTTCTCTCAGCATCTCCACACCCCAGGAAAGTTGCATCCCACTAAACTTCAACTGCCATGTCCACTGTTCGCCTATAAAAAGGCATCGAACCAAAGCAAAGGAAAGAGAAAAACAGAAAAAAAGGGAGAAGAGACGCTGCAGAAATTAAGATAGAAATTGAGGGAGGAAAGAAGAAACGAAGTAATACCGGACGAGAAGACGAAGTAATTCCATTACCGGTGACTCCAAACCAAGCCCTTCAAAGAAGGAGAGCAAACTACACAAGCAACAAAGCATATAAAGGTACAAATCCATCCTTCTAAAATTTTCTTTGTTTGGTTTCTCTTGGTTTCGCAGGAAAAAAAGAAGAAGAAGCAATTTGCTTCTCTTACCTCTACCATTCCCCAACGTCCTCCCAAGTTGCAGCAACCAAACCGCAACACTACCGCTCTCCAGCCGTCCGGTGCTCTTCCAGAATGAGCCCATGCACTCCGCAATATGAAGGAAATGGGTTTGGTAATGCCGTGTTGCATAAAACCAGAAGAACCCGAAGGTCAATGGAGGATACGGCTTGAAGGAGATGGGTTTGGTCATGCCGTGTTGCATAAAACCAGAAGAACCCGAAAGAAGTCGCGTCAATGAAGGAATGGGTGCCTAAAGAAGTTTGGAAGTACGACTTGCATAAAGAAACAGTGCCAAACCACTGTGCCTAGTGATGGCTCTGAAGCTCTCTCACTTTTCGCGACAAACTGGAACCGGAGGATTGCCTTCTCACCTGGACTTTGACAATAGCCCGCTGCGACGTCGTCGATCACTAAACACTTCGACAACACCAATGAAGACATTTTCAAGCACCGCCGCCGTCTCCGCAAGCTACATCTTCTAGGACTCCCTTCGTATTCAGCTTCCCCAAGAGGCCTTCGGTTCAACCCACTTCCGAGTTCGACAACGACTGCTCCATCTTCTTCCACAAGGTCTCTTGCAAGCTGCTCGACAGCCTCGCCAAGCTGAAGCTTTCCTTCAACAACAACCACAAGGGCAAACTCTTTCTGCCACAGTTGATATTTGTTTCCAGGAACCTCTCAGTTCACCACAACTTCAAAGATCAATCTACACTCCTTAATGGCTCCGTCGATGTTGGCCCAAAATTGCATCTCCGTACTACCCATCCTCGTCAGTCACAAGAAGGAGAGACTACTAAGTCAAAAAAGAAAAGGGTGCCTTCTTACAATTACAAAAACCCCAACAATAGCATACTTCAAATAATTATTGGCTCGGCAAAGAAATAGGACAAAAACAAAACCTCTGAAAGATGTCGGTTGCTGCCGTTATGTCTTTTTGTCTGAGAAATAAAAGAAGGATGGAAGGAAGCATCACTTGGATGGAAGCAACACCAAACAAAAAAAAGGGTGAATAAAGGCTGCACCTCACGTGAAGTTTTGCCCACATGGAAGAATAGTGGTTGAACTTAAAAGCTTTAAAAATCATATAGAAAAAAGGGAGGAGCAAAGCTTTTTGTCAGAAAGTTTGAAAATTCAAAGTGGGTTCAAAATCCCATTCTTTTATTAATGGGGTTGAAAATATAAAAAAAGGGTTCTCTAAATGAGTTTTGATCTATGCACCTCACGTGGGATAGACTTTGAGTCCCATTTTCTAATGAAAGGAAAAGCAAATCTCATTCCACTTTGAACTAAGTATTTCACGGGAAGTTCGCTCAAGTGGAGAAGAAAGAGTGGATGTGACATGGTCCTAAAAAAACCTCCCAGTTTGTCCTACTCAAATTAATGGGTCATTTACATTACCTATTAATTATTCAAATCCAATCCAAATGGCTCCTCATTTTCCTAAAAATCTGAACACAAAATTCATTCAAATTATGAACTACGCCGGTTTGATTCCGTTAAGGATACGTAGGCAGTCTGATATCAAGTTTTAGACACAACCGTGAAACCGAAACGAATCCCTGGTTTATATAAACTAAATTCACTCCTGCCGTCAAATACCAAAATGGCACGAAGCCGAAGAAAAGTTTCAAATGGCACAAAGCCGTATCAAATCCCGAGTGGCACGAAGCCGAAGAAAAGTCTCAAATGGCATGAAGCCATATCAAATTTTCTATGCTCCTCGCCCGCATGAGCTAAAACTGCACAAGGCATCAAATCCAAACAAGTACCAAATACCTGAACTACGAGCGACTTGATCCCTCAAGAGGGTACGTAGGCAATCTAGGATTCGACCTAGGTGCAGTCACAAAATCAAACAAACACCCAAATCCTCAAGTTATGATTTATTCAAATTAGAATCAAAGGGTATGCCTTTCCAAAAGAAGGGTTGTAATTAATAGGCGCGTAGCCTAGAATGGGTCGAACTCGAATTAATAAAACCCTATTCGAAAAAATGAACGAAGGTGAAATTGTGTCGAGTGAATTATTTGTTTACATATTATGTACAATTTTTTGCTCAACAATGATGTTCTTCAATTCTCTTTCCTTGGTATTCCAACGCCCCTACCACTAGTTGGGTCTTGTTCTTGGGTCCAAGGGGAGTTGATTAGGGGTGGTGGTGGGTGGTGAAACTCGCCGGAACAGAGGAATCGCTGTCAAGCACCTCCGATGCTCCTTTGAGGTTCTACATAGTTTTGGACCTAAAAACCTTCAAATTTAGGTGGAAATGGTATAATGAAGGTTGTGGAAGAGATTGCAGGTGTTGGATGATGGTGGTTCGATGGGAAAAATGGCGAAAACCGCCAGAATTTGGTCGGGTGGGTGCACAGATTGGTCAACGAAAAGGGAAGGCTGGGAGCTTTCTCTCTCCCTTCCTATTTGGCTATCTATCTCTCCTCTAATTTCTGATTGGTCCTTCCTCCTTTAATTTGATTGGTTACAATTCCCACATGGTGGGAGTTTAATTAGTTCCTAAACTAAAATTTGAGTAAACAATTTCAAACGTCCGTAACTATACTGTTATAATCCGGACTCGCAAATGTCTTTTGCCTAAACTAAAATTAGGGACAGTTCGTCACATCCGACCTTGTGGCGGCAAGTGGTTGTCGTGTACGGGTCCGTGACGTCGTGTAGAATGTTTTCGTATATTTAAACCCTTCGTTTGAGCAAACTATAGGGGATTTTCCTAGCCTTTTAGTGCATGTCCTAATTAATTAATTACTATAGTTGTTTCTCTTATAGGAGAGAATTACCCCGAGAAGGTACATGGACAAGCAAGGCTAGGAGGCTAGGATCCAACTACGTATCAGTGAGTGGGCATTTGTTTTTATATATTATATATAAAGTTGTATAGTTTACACAAATACTTTTGGATTGATTTTATGCCTATCATGCCATGTTTTATTTAATTTAAAAAATGTCATTATATTGTTGAGATTTATATATTGTCATGGCATGTTCATATATATTATACTTGCTCGTCATGCATGCTTGCACCAGTGTAGTACTCGCCTCGGGCCAGGGTCAGGCTTCACGTGTATGTTCACATCGCACCACACGCTCATCTTGGATCCATTGTAGGTGCCAGTCTTGTCCTAGGTTTTAATAGGCAACTATGACTTGTATGTGATGCGCCTAGCGCCAGTCTCCACGTGATTGTAGTACTAGAGCGTTTATTATGATTACACCCAGTCCTGTTCATGTCAAAATCTCTCTGCATGAACTCGTGTGTTAGCATAGAATGATGAGCACCTAATTTTCTTATGCTACGGTTGAGATATTATGATTGGCGTATTTCTGGATTTATTGTTGATTTACGTTTGATTTCATACTTATATGTAGTATATTTTTTGGAAACTATACATGTTTTATCGCGAGGGGTTAGTATATTCAGAAAATAAATGTGTTTTATAAACCTTGTTTTTGCCCACTCACCCTTTTGTTGTTTGCCTTTCCAAGACTTAGCTAGCTGAATTCTCTATGGCATACAAGGAATCTCTGGCGGTTCTGACATTTCTACAAATAAATGTAGGAGCTTATTTCCGGTGGTGTAACAAGTACCTTAACTAGTTTCGACTTCTCTACTTATGTCGTACTATCATCTATGCTCTGAACACTTATGTTTTATGGGTTCTTCCCACTACTATGCACTCTATACTTTAGATTAAATAAATGTTAGCTTTGGTTTAAATTTATCCATATTTTTATGCTTCACTTTCCTTTTTTTGTTACGTCACCTTTGGGTGTCGACCAGCATGCCTCGACTCCGATCGGGATGTGTTAATTTAGTTCATGAATTTGATATATAACACCGCCGCTAAATGTCAAGTGATATAAGAAAATAATTTGTTCTTATTTTTTGTTATAGGACTGAACATATTTAGTGGGATAAGACTTAGAAAGAGATCCTAAAAAAAAAATGGACTATTTGAAAGCTAACAAAAGACTTGGCACAAAAATCGAGTGGAATGGCGTTATAGAATTCATACGGCCGAACCCATAATGCTCGATTGGGTTTTTTTTTTTGGACTGAACGCAAAAAGAAGAACACCATTTGAAAGAGACGAAAACTATGGCGCATGAATAGCATTCTGGAAAAACACTCGAATGCAACGCTCTAATAAAATAAAGGTGTATTGAGATGACCAAGCTCTCTCTACGAAAGAATCGGCAGTGCCTCTCCTTCTCTCTCAGCCTCACTTTCAAGCAATCGGAAGCTCACTCGCTCAGTCCTCTCACCAGGTATGAGTTAAATTAGGGTTTTTCTTTTCCTTTTTTTTATTGGAAATTAAATTTAGGGCATTTCCAAAACTGATATGGTGTTTCACTTGACATTAGAAATTCGTTTATGTATGAGTTAAATTATTATTATTTTTTTAAATCCAAGATAGAATATATTAAAGACGAATAGGAATGTTTACATCCTTAGCTAGAATGTTAAATAAAAATTTCGAGCCGATACAATCTAGGCAAAAGCATGACCCTCCTTAAATACAAACTTAGCCACCGAGTGAGCAGCACAATTGCTCTCCCTAGGCACAGAGGTGAACATCATCGTCGTCAACCTGCGCTCTAGACTCTCAATATCGCCAAGTATACATTCGAGGCTGAAGTCATAAGGCAATTCCTTCCCAAGCATCTGGATTATCACCTTAGCATCGAATTCAATAATCATGTTCTCAAACCCATTGTCAATGCAAGCTGACATGGCCTCCTGGATCACACACATTTCAGTAGGGGTAGCAGAGTGACAAAACCCGACTCCTGAGCCACCAGCAGCTTGGAGCAAACCGGCAAAGTCCCAAACTAACCTAGCCCATACCCACACGTAAGCTATTCTTACACCAAGCCACATCAGTGTTGACTTTGATGACCCCGAACCACGACTTCTGCCATTGTATAACACTGCGACCTGCAGCCCTTATTGCCAACCCACCATTTGGGCACTCACCCGTAGACTCCCGGGACATTGCATTTTTAAAGTCAGAGATGTTCTTCCTCCGTACCTTCAAGATTTCCAAAGGCTTCCGGTGCACTCTGTTAAACACTACATCGTTCCTGTTTTTCCAGAGACGCCACAGGCCAAAGTTAAACTCCTGCATGATCTCGTTAGCTTTATCCCTACCCTTGACCTGATTACACAGGTTCTCCCAAATTTCTAAGAAATCTGCACCTGCCAGGCCGTGGTAGTTCAGATGGAGAGGAGAGCAGAACCAAAACTGGTGATTGAGAGCGCAGTGGAAAAATAGGTGATTTTCAGACTCGTCCACCATGCTACAAACCCTACACACATTATCAACCCTCATGTGGTGCCTTTGTATGTTGCATCTAACAGCCAGTGCATGATTACAACACCGCCAAACGAATAGTTTAATTTTGTTAGGGACCTTCAACTTCCATATTAGGTTCCACACCTGGAAGTTCTTTTGGTTTTCATTGGGCATGCCTGCCCTTTTTTCCCTAAGGCCCCGTCTTCCATAAGGCTAACAGCCACTCCATACCCAGGTTTGACCGAGTAATCCCCATTAACATTATAGTAGGGATACTTAAGATCGGAGCCACATCATCCTTATTAAAACTCACCGAGATCAAATTAGCATTCCAAGATTTCGAGGCCGGATCAATTAAATCGCTCACCAAAGTGCTTTGCAAGCCATCATGCGGCCTTACTTTAAACGCGGAGGGCTTAAGGAACCATGGGTCCTCCCTAATACTAATACTAGCTCCATCTCCCACCCGCCATTTTAAGCCTTGCTGGAGCACCTTACGAGCTTCAAAAATTCCTTTCCAACCCCAGAAAGTGTTCTTCCCCCTACAAGCACCCATAAAAGTTCCACCTGGAAAGTACTTGTCCCTCAAGACTATTGCAAGGAGAGACATCGGGTTTTGGGTCAAGTGCCACCCAATCTTAGCCAGAAAGGCCAAATTGAAGCATTGGATGTCTCTAAAGCCAAGGCCTCCAGCACGCTTCTGTTTCATTAGCCGATCCCAGGAGATCCAGTTGACACCCTTCCTTTGCTCATTACCTCTCCACCAGTAATTTCGTATAGCTTTCTCCATGTCCCTGCACACCCCAATGGGAAGCTTAAAGCAGCTCATGGCATAGTTCGGCATAGCCATGATCACCGCCTTAACTAGGACTTCCTTCCCTGCTTGGGACAAAAATTGCTCTGACAACCCCACACGGGTCTCGATCTTATCCCGGACTTCTTCAAAAATGGCTTTTTGGAGTGGCCAAAATCCGCTTGCAGCCCAAGGTACTTCCCAAAACCCTCATTGCACTGAATATCCAGAGTTCCCACAATTTTTTTCTTGGTACGGGACTTAGTCTTCGAGCCAAAGAAAATCGTGCTTTTAGACAAATTAATTTCCTGGCCGGATCCCCATGCATAAACCTTTAGTACCTTCGCAACCCATTGTGCCTCCTCCATCAAAGCATTACCGAACAGAACAGAATAGATGCGTTACCGGTACACCGTTTGGCGTAATCTTGAACTCGTGAAGAGCACCTTGCTCCAACCCATTCCTGATCAACATAGAAAAACCTTCGGTGCAAAGAAGAAATAAGTAGGGAGATAGGGGATCTTCATGCCTCAACCCCCTCTCCGGCAATATGTACCCCGTCAGGTTCCCGTTCACCAAAATGCTAAAGGAAGCAGTGGAGATGCATTCCTTAATCCATCCACAGAAAACCGGCGCAAATCCCAATCTAGCCATCATAGTTAGGAGGAATTCCCATTCCACATGATCATACGCCTTAGCCATATCCAGCTTTATTGCCATGCCCACTTGGTCCTCTTTTTTTTGGTGGAGCAATGAATGCAGGATTTCATGCACCACAAAGATACTGTCCTAAATATGCTTCCCATCGACAAAGGCAAATTGATTATCGTTAACCACCTTTGGCATCACCTTCTTTAATCTATTAGTAAGTACCTTAGCAAGGACCTTATAGATAACATTACATAAGGCAATAGGCCTTTAATCTCCTTCTGAGGGTTTTCATTTTTTTCACAAAATCTAAAAGTGTGAGAACCTCCAAACCTATCCTTCCAATCATCTGCCACCAAGTCACGGCATTCTTGCAGCTTACTCCAGTGTGCATCATAAGAGAATTTCCTACCCTTCCACGCCATCGCCTTCTCCATGGAAAGAAAAAGCAGAGCATTGTCGGACCTTTCCAACACCACGTGCCTGATCTTAGTATCAAGGTCAAGGTTATTCCATCCCATGGTAGCCAGCCCACGGTCGAGTCTCTGTTGGATTGGCATGCAGTCCCTATTATTCCGCCATGTGAAGGGATATCCTTCATAGCCCAGGTCCATGAGTTCGTTGCAAGCCACAAACTTTCTGAAGCCCTCAGGCTGGAAGCCATTCTATAGTTGCCGCCTTCTTTTTCTTCGTTACTCAGTATATCATCTTGTTGAAATCCCCGATGAGGAGGCTTCGGTCCCTGTCTTTTTCGATCCTTCTGCTCAAGCACATCCATTGGCTCGTCCGTTTTTTCTCGTCAGTACTGGCATAAATAGCAAACAAACGCCAGTGGCAACTATTATTCCCATCCCATATGAGTCAAATTATTTTAGGGATTTGGTATGTAGCTGCTCAGATTTATCTTTCGTATTGCAGCGTCGTTTATACGGAACGCAAGAATTAAGATTGAAAGTGAAAGGAGCCATTAAAATAACTTGGCTTTGCCCCCCATTTGAAGATAATAAGTAGGTGGATCATCTGTTCGTAAAAATTCTGTGTTAATTCAGAGCTTGTCATATAAGGAGACCGATAGTTTGGCTAATGGATATCAATCTATACAATACTTGGTAATAATTTGTCCATTTTTTTTTGTCAAGAAAAATTCACACAAAAATCAACCAAATACATGTGCATGAACAAGGCAATGTGGGTTTATCTGCACTGGCAAGTTTAATGGATTAACGCTGTTTCAAGTCGTCGTGGATTTGTTGGTGCTTGTTTTGGTTTGTAAGAACTAAGAACTATGTGAATTATATGAACCAGGAACTAAGAACTAGCATGTTATAATTTCAACAAGCACGTTGCTCCCTTTCTACCTTGCTGTTTAATTAATTCCAATTGCTGTTTGAATTTTCTTGGGCAGCATCGCTGTTTAATTTGAAGCAGCGGAAAAGGATCCTCTTGCTTTCAATCTCCCTTCTTCTACAATTCAAATTTAGGCTCGAAGTAGCTCTTGCCTAGGTCAGAATTTGGAAATTTTGTTCAAATTCTCAGGACTTTCTTCTTGATTGATTTTGTGTGTGATTGCTTTCATGGGTTGTGTTTTTCATGATGGTCCCCTTTCTTTGGTCTTCAATTGGCTACGATTCGGGTTTATGCTTCAAATAGGGTACGTTCCCTTTTTCTGACTTAATTTTGATAAAAATCTTTGTTGGAATTGATAAATTTTCCTTGGGACTGTTTGCAACGGTTGTGGTATTTCTCTTTTTATTGACTCTTTGTTTCGTTAGTTGAGTTTGATACAAATGTCGCCCCGTATGTCTAAGCCTCGTGCACCAAAACCTTCCAAGCCCACCCGCACGTCAAAGTCTTCCAAGTCCACCCACGCTGATAAATCTCAAACAGACATCTCTTTTTGTTCAGTTTTCCTTAGTGGCACTTAGATGCTGGTTACTCATCCATTTTAAATCTTGTATATTGCAGGATACTCTTCCGTTTTGTCAAAGCTACGACTTGCGTGGTTCTTCTCTACAATCGTATTGTCTACTTTGCTTGTGACGGTCGGGCATTGCCCATCTTCAATTGTCAAAGAGAGAACTAGTAACAATGATCTCATATTGCTGAAACTGAAGTCGGACAGATAGAACTAGTAGCTTGCTTAGATAGGAAGAATCGCATAGATAGGAAAAATCGTGTAATGATGCTTGTTGCAGCAACATGAATCTGCATTTTCTTTTAATTTTAACTTGATAGGAACTTAACAATCTTGCTCTAGAATTAATGATATATTTTGTGCTCTACATGGACACACACACATTGTTAGTTACATCACTTATGCATAACATAGAAAAGGACACAAATGCAGATGCAAATGCAGAGAAGAAGAGCTAGGACACTCGTAAGAAGATTTCCAAGGAGTGCTCCTGGGATCGGACACAGTTTTTTTACTATTCAATGGGGAAAGCTAAAGCTGTTAAGTGTTCTAAATACGCCTGTCCTATTCTTGGATGGCCTACCGGGTACCCAAATACGCCTGCCACTTCTTAAGAGATTATACTAGAATGAACTGTCTTGACACTTGAACTTGTCAGACTTCCTTGTTTGTGGACGGAAAGACATAGCTTAATTTCATTAAACCGCAGCTAGAATGCTTGTTCGAGACTCAAGCTCTACATGAGGAATTGTATTTGGGGTGCTGAAGAAGCAAATTGGGACCAGTTTGATGGTTATACGAATTTGAAATGGAACGAACGGATGAAAGAGACATCCAAGTTTTGTTGAGGAATTAGATTCCACTAGCAAGAGTGCCCGCGCGATGCCGCGGGTTTTGAAACTGTACAAAATATGTAGAAAGTTATAATGTGTATATATACTATTTGCATACATGTGAAATCTATTTACAATCGTAAAAAAAGATTTCAACTTCGACATAACAAAAATAGTTTGCGGAAATCTTCGCAAGAAACAACTATATACATGAAGGGATCCCCTATAATGAATAGTTTGCACAACCCTAGATGATATAGCAAGAAATGAAGAACAAAAAACCTTTCCTTCTGTAAAAATGAAAGTAGTAATAACAACATTAGTTCTAGACATAATTAAAGTGTCGAATATAGGAGCATACTTATTAGCTATTGGATTATACCTCATCAATGACAAACAGCCAATTTCCGCACCATTTTTCTAGAGCTTCATAGTTGGCATAGTCTGGAGCTACGTAACAAATCTCTCCACTTCTTTGAGATAGTTTCGAACAATATGTGGTTCCCATGGAACACCTTTGCTTAACATCTCAATGCCAAATCATCAGAAAATCCAAGAATAAGACATTGATGCAAAGATTCTCTATATTCCAAAAGATTGTTAAATAAAACCAACCACATACTCGAAACCAAAAAAGAGAAAAACTACATGCGTATAGAGCTATAGATAAGATAAAATTCAGTTCTTTGCGAAACCAAAAAAAATGAAATAAAAATAAAACCCAACGAAATAAAAGATGAGTATATGCAGTAATAGTCATATAGGAGTGAGTTCATCAGCTGTAATTTGGTATTTCAGATTGGCTCATTCAGCATTGCTATAAAATTTCAATCATGGCATTCCCATTAAATTTCAATTTTGAAGTAACAACTCCACATTCCCCAAACAATTAAACCAAAACGCAACAAACTCACACCAAATTTTTCATTTTTTTCCGCATCTTTCAACACAATAAACACATTATGGACTGTTCATATCAACACGGATGGTATGATTATATTTAAAAGATAGCAAATTAGTAAAAAATAATAATCAAAACTTGGGAATTATGGTTGTTTAATTGTACCAAAGCTGCAGTAGTCCTTGTTGGTGTTGTGGTTGCTGGTGTTAATCAGCCTTTTAGGGAGTAGAAGACCTTCAATTATAGAGCAATACAGAACCTGGAATTAAATTTCAATTTCTCTGTGCACAGGACAGTTTAAAGTTTAAAGATTAAAATTCTACACACTTTCTAGCCCTAAATTTTCCCGGGAAACAAACGGAAAGTGATAGAAGTCATACCTAGTCCGCGAAAGCAGACGCGATCGGCGAGTTTGGCGGATCATGCTGGCAGAGATGTCTGGTGAGAAAAGGAAAGCAAACGGGCAAATGCCCTATGCTGCATGGGTCGACTAAAATTGGGTACGGCTAAAAACCCAGAATTCAATCACTGAGAAAACATCAACAACCAAAATCACACCAAAATTCATAAAATTCAAAAAAAAATATATGGGTTTTATTTATCAGGTAGTGAATGAGTAAAAATACCACGAATGGTGCTGAGGACTAAATCAAACAACAGTAAAATTAAACCCTACTTTATTTATTTTTTCAATTCGAAAAAAGGAAGATGGTAATGATTTTTCTTCACAAACCTTTCTAACCCCATGAAGGGCGCTCCTGTCAAGTCCTTCAGTGAACATATCTCTTCTGGGTTCTTCCTTTACCTGCACAAAAAGTCAAAAAATTAAAAACCCACAAACCAAAAACTGAAAAAAAAAAAAAATCAACTTTTTTTCTCCAGAGATCCTGACAAAGAAGACTGGAGAGAAAACTGAAGAGATCTCCACTGTGTTTCTAAGAGAGAGGTCGAAACGAAGGAGACGTTGTCCAACGGATGAAGAGGAAAGAGGGAGGAACCTGGAGAATGAGGGAAGAACAGCGCATCGTTTCTATTGTTCCAGAAAAAAGATCTGCACAAATTTTGACTGGTTCTGTCGTTTTTAGCAAGAAAGTGAGAGAGAAAACTTCATCGAAAGAACTCGAGAACGGCGATGGGAGGGGATGCCCTTTCTGAGGTTAGCGAATGGAAAAGCAAATGGGTTTTTCCACTGCTTTCGTCGGCTTTCCACCACTTTTCTTTCCACGATGACCAACACGTGTAGACGTGGAGCTGAGAAAAAAAAAGCGATTGCAGGAAATGGAAGGCAGAGAATGAAACAGCAGAGAAATCCAACAGGAAAGGCCATTGATGAAGAACGCGTGGCCAGCCAGGACAAAGTGGTCATTTCACTGTGTAAAAGAGGCAGCACAACGGGAGATCAAGAAGAAACCGAGGGGCAAATTCGTCAAATCACTGTTAATGAACAGTGTTCAGAAACTGAGTTTTAGTATATATGATTTCTAAATCACCATTTGTTTCTGACCTTGGCCACCTATCTTCTCAAGGATCCTTGGAAGGTGATGAAAATGGAAACGTTTCCCACTACAAGGTTTTAAACCCTAAACTTGGGATATAGCCATCATCATCATCTCTATGGGAAGAAAATGGTAAACATTATCAGTTGGAAACAAGCAAGCAAGAACATATGGATCCTGCCCTGCTTGCAGATATGTCAAAAGATCAATTGGTAATGCATTTCAATAATGTGATGTAGTGATTTCATGAGTCTAAAGTGCAAAATTACACCAAGAAAATACTCAACGTCAGGCAATATTATTGGGAAGAAAAAAAATTGAAAAAAAAAAATCCCTTCCTGATTTCAATTATAGTTGGCATGATGAGGAGGAAAACCTCCGAGGTTATTACTAAGGTGAATTTCTTGTGGAGAAGGAGGAAATTGCTACATTTCTCAAGTCTTGGTAGTTTGAGAGACGGATTGAATACTTCCGCCTCATAGATTTGCATGTGGATAAGAAAGGGAAATAAAGTGCCTTGTTCCGAAGCTGCTGAGAAAATATCACAACACTCTTGTCTTCGGGAGAGTTGTTTTTAACAACAGAAACTCTGAAGCTACCAGTAGAAGATGTGGGTATTGAGAAGATACACTTGGTTGGATTCTTTGGGGACTTGTGGATCAAATAAAATTCATTGCTGAAGACAAATGACTTGGCAGCAACTCTGTATTTGAAGAAAATATGTACTGAAGCTTTTCGAATCAAAAGTGAACCAAAGATTGCAAGGTGCCCATATGAAATGAACTTGCACTGAAGCTTCTCAGATTCTTTGCTTGGCAAAGCAAGTAGAAATAAAACGTTGCAGAATCTTTTGGAAGATCACTGGCCAGAATGTGAAACGTGGAAAGATCAATGAGACTTGTGGCAATGATGAAGAAGAATGTGTTTTATTTATTGCATGCGCGAGTTGTAGGGCTGGAAAAAAATCCCAAAAATCCCAAACCAAACCAAAAAAATCCCGATCCCAAACCAAAATTCCCGAAATTTTCGGGATGTCATCCCGAACCAAACCGAAATTTTCGGTATGGGATTCGGTACTGCCTCTCCATTTTTCGGTATTCCCATACCAAACCGAAAAAAAATTATATATATATTATTTTTTAATTGTAAGAGAATTATTTCAACCATTGATTATTTTGGATTTAATATGTGCCGTTGATTTGTTTTTAGGTCAGATCCAAATGGTACTCTACTCTTTCCGTTCATTTGTTTCCATCCATCGAAGTCTCGAAACGCAGCCCTCCCTCACCGAGCCCTCATCTCTCATCTAATCTCTCATCGAACTCGAAGTCACTCTCACGGTCTCACCTCACCCCAAATTAGGTAATTAATTTAGTGTTTTGAAACCTAATTTCTGTCTTCCTTTTGAAATTTAATTTAGGGTTTGAATCTTGAATCTTAATTTCTGTCTTCGTTTTGAAACCTAATTTCAATCTTGAATCTTCCCTTACTGGTTTCAATTTTGAAGAGTGAATGTTTTTATGCGCTGCATGTTTGCAGGATTACCAGATTGCTGCGGCTACCAGGATTACCAGGTTTTATGCGCTGCGTGTTTTTTGCAAGTCTCATCCTCTCCCAAATGAAATTGGTATGTAGAAGGGATGTATGGGGAGAAAATGCAATATCTTTCGATGTTTGAATAAATACGACAAAAAATTTGATTGAGTATCAGTGAAAAGCTTGCAGTAGGATCATCTTCAGATTGTGAATATGTGTGTTCTACGTTTAAATACTCTATTGAGTCCCAACTGCTTACCTGTACATAATGCATTATGCAGTGGCTCCCCAGAGACAGAGCATTGTGGATGGAATGAGGATGATAGCACTCAAACTTGAATTTGGTGTATCTCACAATCAGATATTTGAGAGGTATTTTTCTTTTATTTTGTTCTACTTTTTGTTCTTATCTTTCAAAATTGTAGATGTCTTTTATTGATTATTAATTTGTGCAGGACCCTAGCAGTGCATTTTACAGATCCTTTCCATGTGAGCAAACGGGTTGCAGATAAATGCAATGATGGTACTTTGCTTCTCCAGGTATGTGTGATATGGTTTTCAAAACTACACTTCTGTATGTAACTTTACTTATGCATCCCTGGCTAGGTGATTAGATAATAAGACGTGAAGTGTGTGACATCCTATTCCTATGTGTTGAAACATGGAAATTGTTTCTGTTTCACCAGATGGGAAACTCACTGATGGGGGTCTCAAGTTTTTAAAGAAAGTTCGTAGCGGAGTATGTTCTTGACTTTTGTCAGACTTATTTTTCTATTTCCGTCAACTTACTTTAAAATTGATGTATGTTTTACAGCTGTTGGATATTAATCACTTACTTTCTGATGCAGGGTGTTGATCCAAGTATTCGAGCTGAAGTGTGGCCGTTTCTTCTTGGAGTGTAAGTATTTTCATATCTATGCGATTGCTTTAATGCTTCAAGTTTTGTATGTGTTATATGAAAATTAGTTAGTATACGATTTTCAAATTTTCACCCTGGTTTTTATTTGCTTTGTAGTTCAAATACACGATATATGCTCAGATTTTTCTATGTTGAATGCTCAGATTTTTCTATGTTGAATGCTCAGATTTTATTTGCTTTGTAGTTCAAATACACAATATATGCTCAGATTTTTCCATGTTGAATGCTCAGATTTTTGAATGCTCAGATTTTTCTATGCTCAGATTATTGATTGGAATTTGGATATATGCTGAACTGTGGTTGTGATATATATTAATGTGCATTGTTATTTTATTTGTTAAGTAGGATGAACGGGTCTAGTAGCCAATCTAGTACACATATGGTCTCGGTATTAGGGGCCGAAGAGGCCAACAATCTTCATAAATTTTAGGCTTTGTTTTTTTGCTTTTGGTTTGTAACTTAATTATTGAAACTTTGGCTTGGAACTAATTTTTTTGCTTTTGAGTTTGTTACTTTATTTATTTTAAAACCTTGACTTGTAACTAATATTTTTGCTTTTCGATTTGACATGTTGTACTTCACTATGGGCTGTTGAATATATTTGGCAAATTGCTTTAAAATAGATTTGTACACAGATTTGACATGTGTAGTAGAAATAAAATTGTTTTTTGTTGAATTAGGTTAAGCCCATATGGGCTGTTGAATTGAGTGACTATACAATTGGACATATTCATTACTAGGCTGGGTGGACAGATTTTGGGCATGGCCCAATATTGGCTTTTTGTCCAAAAGTCCAAAACCATTTCGGGATTCCCAATTTGTCCCGAAATCCCGAAACTATTTCGGGATTCCCGAAAATTTGGTTTGGGATCGGTATTGAAATTGAGATTCCCGAAAATTTTGGTTTGGGAATCGGGACAAGGGTTTCGGTATGGGATCCCATACCGAACCACCTCTAGCGAGTTGGCAGGCCAACGGATTTCATTAGTGGCACTTCGATGCTGGTTACTCATCCATTTTAAATCTTGTATATTGCAGAATACTCTTTCGTTAAAATACCTACGAATTGCATGGTTCTTCTCTACAATCGTATTGTCTACTTTGTTTGTGACAGTCGAGCATATGCACCGTTAAAGAATTGAGTTTGTGGAAGTATTGTCAGACAAGGAGGAGAAGTTCATATTTATGTGCGAAGATGAGCAGGAAAATTTGATTAGTTCTGTTTTTGCCGGAAGGGAATGGATCTTGAAGGAAGTATGGAAACGGGCAAAAAAAGAATTGAGCGTTAAGGCGAATATTTTACAAGTTGCAGAAGCCTTTAGCAAACGTCTTGCACAATTATATAAGAGCAAGAATTTGAAACGGGAAGATACCTTTGTCGAAATTATCATTTCTAAAGGGAGCGAGCATGGAGCAATATACACAATTGGTCTAAAGCCTGATATGGATGAAAAGAGCAAAATCCTCAATCCATTCGAGACCAAACCTATAAAGGTTGAAGAGTGCTATGCTAGCATTAAATGCGATCCTCTTTTGTAAAAGGTGTTATTGGAGGCTTTTTGGAATATTGGTCAAAACGAATGATACATCATAACTAAGTTGAAAAATCGGCTGAGCAAGTGGAGGAGCCGGCAGAGCAAGGACCGGCAGAGAGTGGAAAGGGCAGATATAGACCACGAAGTCATTTACACATTTGAAAAGGCTATGTTAAGTGCGTATTGTGGTGACCCATACACTGGTGGGTACATCAAGTTTCGCTACACTAGTCATCAAATTTACAAAAGCATACCTACAATGCACCCATTGGATCTCTACAAGAAACATTACGATGATGTGATCAAGAACTCCACTTGAAATAGAAAACTTGAAATGTTTATTTTCACTACCAGGGTTGGCGACGTATGGCACTGTTTCTGCTCGAAACCAACGAGGTGTCTTCAAGACTATTTCATTTTGGGTTTCATAAGGGGATACATAATGCACAATGTTTGGTTGACACCGAAAGCTTTTTAAGAGAAAAATGGAGGGAGAATACTACAAGGTGTGATGATGAGGTATTAGGAACCTTACAGTTTGGTTATTTTTACCCAAAACCTCCTAAAAAATCAAAGGGTTACAAAAGAGGAAAGGCCTGAAAACCACCCAAAGACGAAGGGCCACACTACTTCTGTCTGAGCTCTTATGATGTCTTAGAGAAGTTGGTTCCCGAAGGTCATAACAAGGATTTGTTTGGTTTTAGCCCGGACTATCATGGACAACCTTCAAGTTCAGATCTGACTAGCTCTAGTAATAGTAGGGCAAGCATTAATGCTATTAATTTTTTAAATTTTCATGAAATGATATTTGTATAGGATGATACAAAGAAAAACATTCAATTTTGTTATTGCATCAGCTTTTATGAGATGGTACAAAAGGCATCGGTTTTTTGGTTTCATGTCCCCAATGAAGGGCAACCATCAAGATGGAGAGCAACTGATTATATGATGCTAAATTTTGTGGTTTAGAATGAGTATCTAGATTCGGATGTTTCCGTGATGTGTGGTTTTGTTTGTGTATTTATTTGACACGATCAAACGCTTTAGGTGTTGTTTCTTGTATTGACAATATATAGATCTAAGGTTGGATATCTGAGTTTGGTTTGGTGAATTGAAATTGTACTAGATTATCTTCTTGATATTGGGTTTCATTTGGCATATTCGTATCTGAGTACCAGATTGAACAACACCAAAAGCGCTATTAGCACCACATAAACAATCAGGTACTCGGATACGAATATGCCAAATGAAATCCAATATCAAGAAGATAATGTAGGACAATTTCAATTCACCGAACCAAACTTAGATATCCAGCCTTTGATCTATATAGTGTCAATACAAGAAACAACATCTAAAGCGTTTGATCACGTCAAATCAATACACAAACAAAACCTCACTTCATGGAAACAGATCCAGATACTCCTTCCAAAACACAAAATTTAGCATCATATGATCAGTTGCTCTTCATCTTGATGGTTGCTTTTCATTTGGGACACGAAACCAAAAAAATGATGCCTCTTCTACCATCTCATAAAACCTGATGCAATAACAAAATTCAAAATGTTTTTCTTTACATAATCTATACAAATATCATTTCATAAAAATTTAGAAGATTAATAGCATTAATGCTTACCCTACTCTTACTAGAGTCAGCCGGATCTAAACTTGAAAGTTGTCCACTATAATCCAAGCTAAAACCAATCAGATCCTTGTTATAACCTTTAGGAACCAACTTCCCCAAGACCTCATAAGAGCTCGATCAGTAGTGTGGCCCTTCGTGGTTTTGGAGTCTTTCCTCTTTTGCGACCCTTTGATTTTTTGGGGGAGTTTTGGGTAAAAATAACCAAATTGTAAGGTTCCTAATACCTCATCATCACACCTTGTAACGTTCTCCCTGGCAGTCTCCATTTTTCTTTGAAAAAACCTTCGGTGTCAACCAAACAGTGCATTACGTATCCCTTTATGAAACCCAAAATGGCATAGTCTTGAAGACACCCTATTGGTTTCAACAGAAACAGCACCAACCGTGAACAAACATTTCAAGTTTTCCGTTTTGGTTGGAGTTCTTGATCACATCATTATCGTAATGTTTCTTGTATAGATCCAACAGGTGCACTGTGGGTATGCTTTTGTAAATTTGATGACCAGCGTAGCGAGAATTGATGTACCCACCAATGTATGGGTCACCACAGCACGCACTTAACATTGCCTTTTCAAGTGTGTAAAGAACTTCATGGTCTACATCAGCCCCTTCCACTTTCTTTGCCGGTTCTTCCACTTTCTCTACCGGTTCTTCCACTTGATCGGCTGGTTTTTCCACTTGGTTATGATGTATCATTCAGTTTGACCGATCTTCCAAAAAGCCTCCAATAACACCTTTTACAAAAAAGGATCTCATTCCAATGCTAGCATAGCACCCTTCAACCTTTATAGGTTTGGTCTCGAATTGATTGGGGATGTTGCCCTTTTCTTCCATATTGGGCTCTAGACCGTGCATATTGCTCCATGATTGCCCCTCTTAGCAATGATAATCTCGACAAAGCCATCTTTCTGTTTCCAATTCTTGCTCTTATATAATTGTGTAAGATGTTTGCTAAAGGCTTCAGTAACTTGTAAAATATTTGCCTTAACGCTCAATTCTCTCTTTGCTTGTTTTCATACTTCTTTCAAGATCCATTCCCTTCCGACAAAAACAGAATCAATCATATTTTCACGCTTATCTTCGCACATAAATACGAACTTCTCCTACTTGCATGACAGTACTTCCGCAAACCTATTCTTTAACGATACAGACGCCCGACTATCATAAACAAAGTAAACAATACGATTGTAGTGAAGAACCACGCAAGTCGTAGCTATGACAAATGGAAGAGCATACAAGATTTCAAATGGATGAGTAACCAATATCTAAGTGTCACTAAGGAAAACTGAAAGCACGACATATTTGATCTTATCATAGCTATCTTGACAGATGGGAAGAACTAGTGTGAGAAAACTGAACAAATTTAGCAAGTCGGAGTATTCAGCAAGCACAACAGGTTTGATCTTACCATAGCTATCTTGACAAATGGAAAGAACTAGTGTGAGATTTCCTAGTTAAGATCAAAGGGAGACAATGGTCAAGTCACTAATTATTCTACACCACTTTGAAAAACCATATCAAGTATATAAAATCTCTCTAGACATTTAATCGAACAGTTGCAGACATATACAAATCCAATCATAAACTCTTCAAAATTTAATCGAATAATCATAAAAGACTTACATCAAAGATATATTTTTAAAGAATGGTACACAGTTAGTCTTGGATTAAAATAGTCTAAAAGTTCAAAGTATAATATGTAGTAAGAGAAAGTGGAAGATCGGTCAAAGTATAATATGTAGTGGCTCGGAAACAACATGGTTTAAGAGTGATAGAATGCCAGACATAATTGTGTATTGCTAGTGAGGTATATGTATTTCTCCTACAAATAACTTCAAAGTGTAAGGAGAGTGTGTAGATGCCAAAGTACATTTTGGTTCAAGCACAAAATTCATCTAAACAAATTGATCGGTCATAGCTACAAAATGCAACTAAATGAACTCATAACCCTATATCATTTTTAAAAAGGTTCTGAGTTTGAATCTTCCATTCCTACTGGTCTAAACTAGCTTGAATGAAAAAAAAATCTAACTTGAAGCTGATCTTTCTAAATTTTAATTCTGCATTGAGAAAATTACTGGCATCTTAAAAGTTCGCTACAATCTGATCTAATTTAACCAACAAAATCTTAGCTATGCAAGTAAATCTGTAAAAGTTGGAAAACCTAATTTAATTTTCATACTTGTAGATGGTGATTTCCAGCCAATTGTCTTTGCACTTTTTGCAGAAGATCGAAGAGGGAGAGAGATGAGAGCGAGGAAGATGGTGATCTCTACTCTCTAGGCCACAATCTTTGCAATTTTCGCACAAGATTGAAAAGAGATGAGAGTGAGTTCCCGAAACCAAACTTGCATCAGAATCCAAATCATCTAGATTGAAATTGAAATCATCCGAACCTGCATTAAAAATCCAAATTGAAATCAGAGATAGAGTGACAGTGAATCAGTGAAGATTGATAGAGTGACACTGGTCATCCACAGTAACCAGCCCTTACGAGTTTTAGTATATACAGGACAAACATAGAAATAAATGCTTCTGTAAAATCTAATAAAAATTGAAGAAAATGAAAGAATATGAGATTTGAGGGACATACATACTTTGCATGTTCTAAGTTTATTGTGTAATACTAAAGTGTTGATGGCTGGTGGGCACAGAGGGTGATGAGATTGATTCTCTGTGGCAAAAAATCCGAAGAGGGATATGCAAGAGTGTGAGAGAGGAATTCCCAAATAAATTGCAAAAAACGGCTTCTAGCTCGTATTTTCAATTGCAAAAAACCTTGAACAATAAACACAACCCATTAATGTTTAAGTCTGACCATAAACAATCGTATTGGCACCATACCTTCACAAAGACGAAAAACGCCACAGCAAAAACCGAATAATCCACCAATGTGACCACCTGTTCCTTAGATTCACATACGCAGAGACCGCTTCCCAAAAAACGGACATCCACGTCTCCTGATATAAAAACAAAACCAAATCATACATCCAGTCCAGGGGTCTAAGGACATGCACAAAAAAGAAATTCATAGATAAAATCCATGCAAATGTGGAAAATCAACATAAAAATGGAATGAACGACAGTGAGAAAGTCCTAAAACTCACCAAGAAAAGGACAGATGCAGCGGCTAAAACAGAATTAAAAAACCAGTAATAACGACTGACAAATCAGAAAGCAACAGACAAAACCCTTGATAGCAAGCGGTGAAAACGACGACAAAGACGAAATTTCCACAGGCTGGCTAACCGGCTTGAGCAGATAGAGATGCGAAAATGGGAAAGGAAAACAATTAGGGTTTCAGAGACAAAGAAAAGGAGAGCCCCAAAATGGGTGAAAACGGCGAGAACAACAAAGAAAAACCTAGAACCAACGAAACAACTCGAAGCAGGGGAAGATAGACGCGTGGCCATCTAGGGCAAAACCGATGATCAACACGTGGATGACAGGGGCCGATAAAGCAGAGCAAAACCAAAAAGGAAAATGAACCAGAGACAACACGTGTAAAAATGGTCCAAACGAAATTACACAAATCAAGCAGGGGCAAAAAGGGAAGCACACTGTTAATGAACAGTAACTTTTTGTGTTGGGTTTTAGTATATACTAGTAAGTATGCCCGCGCGTTGCTGCGGGTTTTAAAGCAGTATAAAACATGTAAAGGATATACACATATTATATATATGAGGAATGAAATAGATGTCCATGGATGGGGTACTATTTACATAGATGTGAAAATTCATTTTCAATCTTATTTACAATGAGGAACATAATAGTCCAAGGATGAAGTAATATTTACATACATGAGTAACAAAATAGGTGTCCAAGGGTGGGGTTCTGCATTTCTTCTCACATGTAAGTTTTCTTTTGTCTGTTACATTATAGATTGGGAAAATGGATATTGTTAATGTAAATAAATGAGAGTCTTAGTGTAAATGAGTCTTAGTGCAAATGAGAGGACAAATATAGGTGTGGTTTGAACTACAGATAAAAACAATGAAAATAAGTTGAAGAGTATTGCCTTATTTAAGAAAAATGGTTCTAAACCTTAAATCCTATATGAATCAAGTTTCTGAAACCATTCATATTCAAACCAATCAATTCAAATCATGCTCAAACCAATTATGTGTAATACGTAAGGAAAAGTTATAAATTATATTTGGCACGTATAAATCAGCTCTAATTATATAGGTTAGAGTTTTTATGTGAGTTAGAAATATCCATTTGGTCGTTCCTTAGAGAAATGCCCTCAATTCCTCACTCTTACACCTTAAATCTTATGTTTGTACTCCTAAATTGTACATAACAAAAAAAGGGTCAAACCTACGTACAAAAAATGTTATAAACTCAACAGTTGATATTTCTTTGTTCACACTATTTCTTTGTACAATCCAGCGCAAGCAATGAAGAAAGTTAATAATGTAGGACATAAATATATGAAAAAAAGAATTAGGAAAGATTTTTAATTTTGGTGTTTTGGTGGAAGAAAAAGGAAAAAGATTCAAGGAGAGGTCTGATGTTTGTAAACATATTGGGGAAAATAAACAAAGAAATACACATACAGATCGGAGTTGTATAGGATAAAAATTAGCAGAAATTGAAAGTAGATACCTTAGATGATGATATGCAGAGTAACCTTGAGAGTTGATGTAGTATGAAAGCTACAGTTTGCAGAAGTCACTAAAGCCAAATCCTTACTTGATGTTTGAAGTGAGAAGTACATGAAAAATGAAACAAAAATTTGATTACTGTTAAATGGAGAGAAAAAATCCATAGAGAAACATAATTACAGAACCAAAAAGAATAGAAAAAAAAAAGGCTGAGAAGTAAAAGTCACTGTGTAGGAACAATAATAAGCAGCCATAGATAGAATCAAAGATGTGAAAAGTCTAGAGACACTACCTCCTCCACAGGTGGTGACATTCAACCCATTTGAAGTGTCAATTGTTCCACAAACGTAGATTTATTTGTAAAGCTAATATCCTGAAATTAGGTTGAAAGCACATGTGTTTTGAATTGAATCATTATATCCATTAGGTGCGAACCTTCCTAGCATCAAGATTGCTGTTTTTCACCGAGAACGAAACTAACAAAAGCATCATGCTTTCTTTCCTTCTTTATGTTCTTCTGATGTTTCTGGTCACCTAAAGTTGTAGCTTCTTTTTCCTCTTCCCCATATGCATCCAAACAATTTTTAAGCAGGATTATCAATAAATTAACCAAAAGAATGTATGATCAGAGAGCAAAGTCTTAAAGCATCAACCAATAAGTTGAATCCATATGATTAGCATTATTGTTGTATGGAACATTTCAAACCTTACATGTTCACCAAACAGTATCAGTCCAATTTATGGGAAATAGTCAACAACAACAACAAAGCCTTTTCCCACTAAGTGGGGTCGGCTAAAACAATTAAAAGGATTCCTAAGACATATCAACCGGGATTTGGATTTAATGAACACCTAAATGAATTTTTTTCCTTTCCTTTCTCAACCCTGTGCAGTTCAAAAGTAGAACCATCGAACCCCGTAATGAAACAAACTATTGTTCATAGCAAATTCCAAAAATTTATTTAGATTTAACCAATACAGTCCTAAACCCATTTAATCTGAAAAATATAAAGCTAATTCTATACATTACAAAATCAAATCAAATCATATAATCTCAAACATTTTATTCATACCTTTTTTATTTTGTCTTTATACCGATCACCAACAGCCTTTATATATTTTTCCTCAATCTCTGAAGGTGAATTTTTTTTCAAAAACCTGCAATCATGACCAAAAATAAATAAAAAAAATATAACAGAGAAGAAGCAGAGACTTTCACAGAGAAAGAATGGTCAAACATGATGGGTAGCGTCCGTCGATGGTTGATAAAACCGTCTAGAATTCTTTTCTCTCTCTTTCTACATCCTCATCCTCTCTCTCTAAAATAATTCCTATCTCTCTTGGTGCTTCGTTGAGGGGTTTCGTAGAGGAGCTTTTGGGGTTGCCATATTCATGGAGGGTTTTGGTCCAGAAGTTCTATTCTGACATTAATTTTCTGGGGTTTTTCTAAATCTGGTGGACAGAAAAATGGCAGTAAGTTCACAATTTTTATGGGTTTTTTGTGCTTTTTTTTTTATAATCAAGTTCTCTACACACTACAGTAGATTCAAATCTTCAAGAAAAAAGGTGGGTTGCTAGATTCGTACCTTTCTTACTCAGAAATAGAGAGAAAAAAGAATTGGAGGAAAAGTTGGGAAATTTACCAGAGGGGTTTAGGTGGAGGCGCCGAGAGGAGGCGATCGGCAAGGCGGATTGAAGCTCGAAGGGCCGAGAGGAGGCTATCATTTCAAAGACGATCCCAGATGAAGAGACAAAATCGCAAAAGAAAACAGAGAGAGCGAGAGGTGTGTGTGTGACGGTGAGATAGAGAGATTTCAGAAAACTAAATTAATTACCTAATTTGGGGTGAGAGTGAGACTCAGACTCGGTGTGGTGGTGAGACCGTGAGAGAGATCCCCAGTTCTGTGACCTGACCTGTCCATGAAAGACAATCGCCCTAGAGAGAGAGAGATCGCGAGAGAGAGCGGTGGTTGTGTGGTGAAGGAAGGCTGGAGAGTCAGAGACGAGAGTATGGTGTGGTGGTGGGCCGGTGGCTGGTCGGAATTCGACAGTATGGTGAGGGACGACGTTGGTGAGGGCCGGAGGCTCAGGGCTGCGCTTCGAAACAAATGAACGGAGGAACTACAAAAGTGAAATGTTATCTGACCTAAAAAAAAATCAACGGCACAGATTAAATCCAAAACAATCAACGGTTTAAAAAATTCTCTTATAATTAAAAAATTATATATATATATATTTTTTTTTCGGTTCGGTAAGGGAATACCGAAAAAATGAAATGCAATACCGAATCCCATACCGAAACTTTCGGGAATTTTGGTTTGGGATTTTTTTTATTTGGGATCGGGATTTTTTTGGTTTGATTTGGGATTTTTGGGATTTTTTTCCAGCCCTGTCTTCAGTGCTATCGAACCAGGCTTCTAGCTCCGGTTTACTGAATTGCGCTATATGCCATTCGGCGCATAACTTCAAGTGTCAAAGTTGTACATCCCTTGGTGCATGCATAGATGTTTAAGATCATCAAAATCCACTATCATTACATCACTCAATTACTATTGAAATGAATTTATCAACTTGTACGGTTTAAAGATGTGTAAACAGCTAGCAATACCAGGAGGGAGAAACTCACAGGACTTATGGTGAAAAGTTAAAACCCATAGTAAAAAGATAGGGTTAACTGCAAGCTTGACTGCCATTTTTCAGGATGATTAATTAAAAAATGCTTTAGTCCAAATGATAGAGACCCCCAAATAACATGCTAAGGAATATGTATTCCTGCTATTAAAATAGCAATGTTCCTAATCCTACTGTGGCTTTAGACTCTAATCCATTTGATGCTCCGAATGGCCCTCATCCTCATGCATGCATTTTATAGAATCATGTGTTACCTAACTGTTTCATAATTATGAAGGGAAAGAGGATTTATTACTGTTTATACCATATTTAGGGCCTCGTATTTAGACCTCGTATAAATACTCGGATGACTTAAATGTAATTATGTAATAAAGGAAGGGGCAAATATGTAATTAGGGGATGAGCCCTTATTCTATAAAAGGGCCTCCTCACCCTCACAAACAAGGGGGGTCTCTCCTCATCCCTCTCAACGCTCTCACTCTCAGAGCTCTCTCTCCCTCAGATAAATACATAATCAGTGTGGACGTAGCTCAAACCTTGAGGTGAACCACGATAACTCTTGTGTCATTTACATTTCATGCAGATTCACGGTCGGATTTACGTTGTACCAAGACCATCCGGTTTTGTGCATCAACATTTGGCGCCGTCTGTGGGAATCGACACGAAAAGTTATGTCGATTCTCTCTCAATTTTTCACCTCCGCCGTGAATCTGCAGAAATCCAAGAACCCAAAAACCTCACTCTTTGGGCTTCTCCAGAAAACTTTCGCAGACCTCAGCCCATCCATGCCACTATGTCCTCATATTTCCACCGAGTTCCAAAGTGCTCACCAGAAAAAATGATGGCTTCCATGTCTTTCTCTACAACTTTTTCAACACCTTTATAGATTTTTCTCAAGCAAAAACAAAAATAAGCACGAATTCTTTAGCTTCATGCCCTTCCATGGCGTGTTGGATCAAATCCTCACTTGGGTCTCCTAATCGGCATTTGTTCGAAATGGGTGGTCTTTCCAATCGGAGAATTTTAATGGGTTTCTGATCAAATCTTGGTCTTTGGTTGTCTATGCTAAAGCAGCTACAGCAACATCTCTATATATCTCTCATGTCCATCATCTCTATCATGTCCCTCATCGCTCAGCCTGACACATCAATCAACACACCCAACTGAAAGAGGGGTAGTTTCGTGATTACCCTGATTCCGCCATGGGCATTCCCTGCGACGACATCGTCGTTATCAAGCTGAGGAAGGCTCCTGATGAGCCCTCCGTCCTCATGGTCAACTGTCCCGACAAGGCCGGCCTCAGCTGTGATTAGGAGAGGTTGAAGGATCAGCTCTCGTCCGCGTGCCCGTCGTCGTGCTTCTTCTCATTTTATCTCAATCAAATCTCCAACATCCCAACGCCCTCTTCGGTTTATCTGTTGAAGTTTTGGTGCCACAACCAGAGAGGCTCACTTCACGATGTTTGAGCCATCGTACGAGTTGGGCAAGAATTCGTGGGATCTCGCGGTGGCCCAAATGGTTTATGATGATGTTGTTGGGGTTGGAGTGGTCGAGGAGATCAAAAATCAATGGCTTTTCTCAGTTTTCAGCATCTGTCAATTTGGCGGAGGAACGAAAGATGCCAAAATTAACTGCTGAGAGTACCTGGGATTTGGAGATGTGATTCATTATTGTATCTTTGCTTGTAGTCTGATAAACAACTTAGAATTGTCTCTGCCACGTGTTCCACACTGAGTGCATTGATAGGGGGCTGGAGTACAATGATCATCATCTTCACCATCACGACGAGGACGATCACAAAACTTGCCCGCTCTGCAGGACTCCATTGCTGACGTTATCGTAGAAGCGGAGCCTGAGTTGGGATTGCAGCAGAAAAAGGGAACAAAGTGAAAAGCAAAAAAAGAAAAAGAAAAAGAAGATGTTTGGAGAAAGCAAAAGCAAAAATAAGAGGCGGTGGCTCCCTATGAACGTTCTGCACTCAGCAAGGCTTATCTCTTCCCCGAGTGTAAGTGGTGTTACTTTTCATGAAACTTGGAGACAAAAAGCTGGGGCCACGTCATTGACTCACTGGTACACATCATCATCATCATCATCGACTTTCTCTGGCCTTGATTCAAAGCCATGACTGTATGTTGGAATAATGGAGAGGGATTTTCTGGTTTTGAGCTCAATAAGTGGTTTTGCAAGTCCGTCACCCTCAAAAACCAGATACGCTCTATTGAGCACATGCTCCGTAAGAATTTACCAGCTGAACTTAGGGAGGCTCATGAAGAAGAAGTTGAATTGCGTTCAAAAAATCGAAGCCTTTGGATTAGAGGTTACAAAACTTCTGTCGCAGTCAACGCAGCATCTGGATGAGCTGGAAATAGCCAAGGATTTGGACAAATTATCGGCAAAGTTGATGATGTATATGAGATGATTTCTTCAACGATGGCTGCAGATCCCCAATGGCAGATGACAGCACAAAAAAGCAAAAGAGAAAGGCAGTGGGAAACAAAGTGAAAAGAAAAAGGAAAAGGAAAAGATGCTTTTACATACAAATGGTATCTTTTTGCTTTTACAAACAGGAGCTCTCGGTTTTTCAAATGGGGAAAGGAACAACGTCATCAAGTGGAAGCCAGATCTCTGGCAACGCAGAGACAGAGACAGAGAGGTGCGGTGGAAAAGGAAAAGCAGAAGGTAAAAGTAAGGAATAAACATCACACCAGAAAGATGTGATTTACTTTTCTTGTTTTTGTGTGATGTAATTTAGTTTTCCTATCTTTCGGAGACATTTGTATAAACCCTATCAGAGGGTAATATGTATAAACCCCATCAAAGGGTTAAAAAAAAAAAAAACGACAAAGCCCAAAATAAATGGGCTGACATGTTGTGGAGGGCAAAGATCTATAAGCCCAAAAAAGCACCAACCAGGTGATTAAAAGTACGCCTAGTACTCTAAAATTATTCGGCAACCTGCCGCTATTACCACCAATCAGGTGATGAAATATACAACCCGTACTTCAATATCACTTGGCAACTAGCCATTCATGCCACCAACCAGGTGATGAAATGTACAACCCGTACTCCAATATCATTTGGCAACTAGCCATTCATGCCACCAACCAGGTGATGAAATGTACAACCCGCACTCCAATATCATTTGGCAACTAGCCATTCATGCTACCAATCAGGTGATGAAATGTACAACCCGTACTCTAATATCATTTGGCAACTAGTCATTCATGCCACCAACCATGTGATGAAATGTACAACCCGTACTCTCCTTCATGTCATGATGTCACCAACCAGGTGATCAAAAATACGCCCAGTACTCCAAATTATACATGAGCATTACTCATGTCATTCATACATAAACATTTATGAGCATCACTCATGACAACCAAACATAAACATTCATGACCATCATTCATGTCAACATTCATGAGCATCACTCATGTTAACATTCATGAGCATCACTCATGACAACATTCATGAGCATCACTCATGTCAATCATACATAAACATTCATGAGCATCACTCATGTCAACATCCATGAGCATCACTCATGTCAACATCCATGAGCATCACTCATGTCAATCAGCTTCAAAAGCTTCATTTATAAAATCTCTAGCTTCAAAAGCTTCATTTACAGAGCTCCAGCTTCGAAAACTTCATTTACAGAGCTCTAGCTTCAAAGCTTCACTTGCAAAGCTTTACCTACAAAGCTTCAGTGCAGGGTATACAAATACCGTCTCCAAACAACCGCCACTTCGGCCCATACATGGATTCAATTTGAAGTCTCCAGCCAACAGATTCTATTGACCGAAGACTTGGGGGACTACATTATGTACCATATATTGGGCCTCAACTGGACCTCATGAAAAATATTTGGGGGACTTAGCCCATAACTTATGTATTGAGGAACGAGCCCTTATTTTATAAAAGGGACTCCCTCACTACCATTAGAGAGTATCGCCGTCTACTGAGCAACCGCCTCGCTGCGAGCATCAACTCTAGCCCATCATTTATGTATTGAGAAACGAGCCCTTATTCTATAAAAGGGACTCCCTCACCATCATTAGAGAGCATCAACTTAGCCCATTATTCATGTATTAAGGAGCGAGCCCTTATTCTATAAAAGGGACTCCCTCACCTTCATTAGAGAGCAACGCCGCCAACTGAGCAACCGCCTATTCACGAGCATCACTCGTAGCCCATCACTTATGTATTGAGGAGCGAGCCCTTATTCTATAAAAGGGACTCTCTCACCATCATTAGAGAGTAACACCGCCAGCTGAGCAACCGCCTCGCCGCGAGCATCACTCCTAACCCATCACTTATGTATTGAGGATCGATCCCTTATTTTATAAAAGGGACTCCCTCACCATCATTAGAGAGCATCAACTCTAGCCCATCATTCATGGATTGATGAGCGAGCCCTTATTCTATAAAAGGGACTCCCTCACCTTCAAACGCCGCAAGCCGAGCCAACCATGGCAACATAAGCCACAAGCCGAGCAGCCTC